TGACCGGCCCGGGGCGGGCGGTGCGGCCCCAGCACGATTGGCTGCTTCCTCGTGACATCACGCGGCTCGGGGAAAAGTGCGAGCGTGAGCGCGAGTCGGAGCCACAGCGCCGGGAGCTGCAGGCGGAGCAGGGGCCGCCCCTCGGCACCCGGTGCCCGCCCCCGGCCCTCGGCCCGGCCGCCCGCCCCGCCGGCCCGCGGGCCTCGCCTGTGTCCTGCCGTCTGTCCGGCGCCGGGGGGAACCGGGGCAGAGGCGGCGGGTGAGTGGACTTCACGGCCGCGCGGGGGCGGGGGGCAGCTGGCTGGCAGGAGAAGGGCGCGGGGTGCTGGGACCCCCCTCTGCGGACGCCCGAAGGTGCACCCGACTGGGATAGGACATCAGACGTCTTCAGGGGCTGGCGGGGTGCTGGGAGCGGCACGGGGCCGAAGGTGGGGGGTCCCCACTAACGAAAGGCCCAGGGTCGCCCGAAGCCTTCTCCAGGTGTACCTTTGGGGAGAGACGGGCATTCAGGAGGTGGAGGAGACCGGGCATGGCAAACCCTCAGCCCCCAGAGAGCCAGGGGCAGCCGTCGGGGGCGGGACCCCGGGCTCCGTTCTTCCGTTAGCAGCTCCAGGGGACGCCCGGTGCTGGAGCCCCAAAGAGCCCCTTTCCCGCCGGCCTCTCCGCCCTCTCTTGCTGTCTGCCTGGCCCGGGTGCTACCAGCCCCTCCGGCCCCGGGAGTCCTCCATCAGCGACCTTGAGCCCCGACGGAAAGCGCCCCGGCCAGCTCGCGGCACCCCGTCCCCTCCCCCACGCTGTAGCCCAGCCTGGCAGCCGCGGCGGGGCCGAAGCGTCGGGTACCAAGCTGGTGCCCTGTCCCCTGCGACCCTCTCCCTCCCCGCAGCTCCGGAGTCTTCCCTCCTGCCCCAGGGACAGACACAGACACAGCGGCCTTGCAGCGAACGTAAAATCCGAGGACCTACGCCCCAAGGCACCCTCACAAGCTCCCAGAGCACCCCATGGCCCGCCACTCGGCCTGCCGGGGACAAGAGGGGTTCGAGACCCCCAGGGCCGTGCGGTGCCCACGCCCAGCGGCTTCGAGAACTGCGTGCTAAGGGGGTGGTGGGAGGGCGGGGCACGGGGAGCGAAGGCCCCTCGGACTCCGGCGGAAGCGCGGCGGAGGCTCCAGATGGCGCCGGGCTAAGTCCCTGACCGGCCTTGGGGGGGCCCCAGCCCGAGGCTGTAAGAACCCGGCCCCGCCTCGGCCGCTGGGGTCGCCCAGGACGTGGTCTCAGGTTGCACAGTGAGGAAAGGACCTCATCTTCCCCGCCCCCCGCCGAGCCTCCCCGATAGGATACGTGGTGGACTGCCAGTGCCCACTCTGCTGCGCCGAGCCTGGGGTCCCTTGAGGCTCGGTGGGGCGACTCTTGCAGCGGACCCTCGACAGAAGTAGGTGCAAGGCTGCGACTCCGCGGCCACACGGTTGAGGGAAACGGCCGTGTCTGGGCGGGGACCCGTCTAGGGTAAGACCCGGTGGGTCTCAAAGTCGTAGCGTGGGCTGACCTTGATCCTTGAACCTCGCAGAGCCAGGCGCCATCGGGATGCGGGCTCCGGGATACTCAGGCCAACCGACGGCTAAGGTCTAGAGTGAGTCCCCAACAGGGCACCGGCTCTAGACCCCGCCGCCGCTCTATAACCCAAGTTCCCAGGGAGGAGACACCACCCGCCCCCCCGGCCGCTGCCCCCGGGCTCGCACACGCAGGCACCCGCACGTGTCCACATGGCGGGACCACGCTCACGCGCTCGCGGACGCACTGGTTTCCAGGCGTGGCCGGGCGCACACGCGTGTAGACGCAGCCAGCCAGCTACTCGCGTCTACTCGCACAGCCACACACAAACAGAGCGCTGTCGCTGCCGCCCACGCGCGCTTCGCCTGGGGCCGAGTGGAGTCGGGCGCCCTGAACTTTCCAACCCGGGCACCTCGCGCGGTGCGGAGGGCAGCGCCGGGGCAGCCTCGGCGAGGGAAAGAAGTAGCTAGGTTACCCCCCCCCCCCCCACACACACACACACACGCGTGTCCCTTTTCGTCTCTTACTCAAGAGACCCTGCTGGGAGGGGGTGGGGGGCTCCTCTGTATTCGTGGTGGCGTTGGCACTGAGGGCAGTGGTGCGCCCTAGGTCCGGAACTGGCATTAGGGACCAACATTGCCATCTAGCGGTGCGCACCACCCCAGGCAGCGGCAGCGACCGCTGCTTGCGGACCCACACCCGGGAGGAGCTTGCGGTTAGGATGCCCGCGAGCGTTCGGAGAGGCGGCTGGAACCCGTTACCACCCGCAGCGCCCCGCAGCGCCCCGCAGCAGTCACAGAACAGGAACCAGACCACCAAGTTCCACTTTGTGCCGGCTCAGCCTGGCCCTAGGCAGACGGGAAGTAGCTTGTCTTTTGGAAAGTGGAAGAGCCAGCAGGAACCAAAGGGATCCTTGAGCAATATGGCTTTAAAAAAAAATGTTTTTAAGGTTATTTATATTGGAATGGTAGATTTACAGAAGGAAAGAGACAGAAAGATCTTCCATCCACTGGTTCATTCCCCCCATATGACTGCAACACTGGAGCTGAGCCGATCCGAAGCCAGGAGCTTCCTCCGTGTCTTCCAAGTGCAGGGTCTCCCAGGTGCAGGGTCCGGAGGCTTTGGGCCATCCTCGACTGCTTTCCCAGGCTACAAGCAGGAAGCTGGATGGGAAGTGGAGCAGATTGGACATGAACCCACGAACTAACACCCGTATAGGATCCCAGTGCTTGCAAGGGAAGATTTAGCTATTGAACCAAAGTGCCACTCCCAACTGTATGGTTTACAAAGGGGAGAAACAGGCCCTCATCTGAGCAGAGGCACCTTGCAGTGAAGACGGGGGGGGGGGGGGGGGGTCCCTGCCCCTGGCTGATAAGGCCTCAGTGACTTTAGGCAAGTTCAAGGAGTCCCCCACCTGTGAAGGGCTCTCCCCACGGTCAGCAGCTGAGGATGCTAACAGTACCTACCTTTTCAGGCCATAGAAGGTGCTGAGGGAGAGAGAGAGAGAGAGCTGACATGCACCTGGTTAAGCACTCAGTAAACAAGAGCTCCTATGTTGTGAAGGCTGGCACCTGTCGCCTTGCTGCTTGAGTGCTGGCTGTAGCTGGCCTGCTGGCAGGCCCACAGGATACTCTTCTTGGGGGCTGCCTGACGGGTCCCTGCTCACCCACTGTGCGCGGGGGCACCTGCTCACAGGCGCTTAGCAGAGGGCACCTCTCTGTGCTGGGGTGGCAGTCTTGCCAGCACAAAGGGTGACTGGAAGCTCTCGAAGCTTGACTCCGTGCTTGACCTTGAGGTGTCACCACCCCTTGTCTGCTTCTCCTGTGAACCAAGGATTCATGATTGGGAGAATAATTGCGGACCCCAGCGCCAGGAGGCTGGGTCTGCACCTGGGTACCTGGCAGAGGGGGTCTGCCCACTACCCTGGTGCCAGGCTGTCATGTGACTGGCAACTTGAGGTCAAGTGTAGGTACTGGTCCTCAGGAGCTTCTAGCTTGCAAAAAAAAAAAAAAAGAGAGAGAGAGAGATTGTTGGAGAGGGGACACGGTGGCTCCCAGCAGCCCAGGCCGCAGGAACTGGTGCTCCTGTCTCTGCATGGGGGCCTCGTGCCGCCCTCTCTTCCTCTCTGTCACACACAGACGCACAGCACTACGCATCCGACCGTGCGTGTGGCTGCGATGGGGCTGTGTGCGTATGTGCGCCGGGGTGTGTGTTGGCGGTGTGAAGGAGGCTGGGCTGCGCGCTACTGCCCTGGAGCCGCTTGCTGGGCGTGGGCCTTTCTCACATGGATGGAAAAGGAAGAGGGGGAGGAAGACTGGAGAGGCGAGCAGGGGGAAGGGAGGAGGGGCCCCGCGCTGGGGCTTGGGGACGTCCTGGCTGCGGTCACTGCCCTGGGAGACGGTGGCCGGCCCTAGCCTGGGAAGGCACGTGAATCCTTCCTCAGCCAGAGGGCCCTGTGGGCATAAGATTTCTCAGCCACACCTGCGCTGCACCCTCAGACCCCGGAGTGTGGGTGGGGTCTCAACGTGGGAGAGGGGATGCCCAGCAGCAGGTACCTCCCCATGCCCGCTGCTGGGCACCTCTGCTCCTCCCCCCACCTCGTGTGAGGGGGTGGGGTCCAGCTTCTTGCCCTCCTTCCTCTGCCCCCTGGTGTCTGTAGCTTTCTTGCCTCGGAAGGTGGGACTGCTTCTTCCCACCTGCTCCCCCAGACGTCACCATACTGGCCAGAAGCTTTGGAACCAGGGTCAGGTTATTTGACATCTTTGCCCCCATCTCCTCATCTCTAAATAGTACAAAACAAAACAACTCAGCAGTTGTCTCCTGGGCTTGTAGCAGAAACCCAATGAGTTAACACTGTAAACAGTGTAGACAGTACTCGGTCGTTCAGCAATAAATGGCAGCTGTGCTTCGACCAGGGTCTCCCGTGCCTTCTGTCAGAACCGGGGAACAGAAATGACCGGTGGTTGGGGGGATGTGAATGCAAGCCCATCTCCTGCTAGTGCCCCGGGTCTGTGTGCCGACCCCGAAGTCACTCATGCCCTGCCCCACCTCTTCCTTTGCCTCTGTCCCAGCCCGCACACCCAACCTGCCGTTGCCGTTGCTGGGGCCACTGCGGTGCAGCATGTCACATGGCTATCCTCACATCCCACCCTGGAGGAGGCCTCCCCAGTCATCCAGCCTGCCACGTTTCCCAACTCGCTCATCCAACTCGCTGCCGTCATTCCACCTTATTTTCTGGGTGGTGGGGGGAGGGGAGGTTCCTGTGCTTGTGTGTCTCCTACACACACACACACACACACACACACACACACACACACACACACACACACGTGAGGACAGGGACCCGATCTAATAACAGGTCGCCTCTGAGACTTCCATGCTTGGCACACGGTAAGATCTTAACCAGCAATGACTTGCATGAACAACCAGGGAGGGATAGGAGAAAGTTCTCACGTGCTGCCACCTGCCGTTCCTGTCTCTAGGACTCCGCGTGACCCCCTCCCATCCGCCCCAACCATTGATCCCTTCTCTCTCCTTCCTCCCCCAGTTGCTGTCCTCGCCCCCCTGCTTGCTACTCACCAAAATGGCGAACTTCACCCCAGTCAATGGCAGCTCCAGCAACCAGTCTGTGCGACTGGTCACGTCAGCTCATAACCGCTACGAAACGGTGGAAATGGTCTTCATCGCCACGGTCACGGGCTCGCTAAGCCTGGTGACCGTGGTGGGCAACATTCTGGTGATGCTCTCCATCAAGGTCAACAGGCAGCTGCAGACGGTCAACAACTACTTCCTGTTCAGCCTGGCCTGTGCTGACCTCATCATTGGCGCCTTCTCCATGAACCTGTACACTGTGTACATCATCAAGGGCTATTGGCCACTGGGCGCCGTGGTCTGTGACCTGTGGCTGGCCTTGGACTATGTAGTGAGCAATGCCTCCGTCATGAACCTGCTCATCATCAGCTTTGACCGCTATTTCTGCGTCACCAAGCCCCTCACCTACCCTGCCCGCCGTACCACCAAGATGGCTGGCCTCATGATCGCAGCCGCCTGGGTCCTGTCGTTTGTACTATGGGCGCCTGCCATCTTGTTTTGGCAGTTTGTGGTGGGCAAGAGGACTGTGCCGGACAACCAGTGCTTCATCCAGTTCCTGTCCAACCCGGCGGTGACCTTTGGCACGGCCATCGCCGCCTTCTACCTGCCCGTGGTCATCATGACGGTTCTCTATATCCACATCTCCCTGGCCAGCCGCAGTCGAGTTCACAAGCACCGGCCCGAGGGCCCCAAGGAGAAGAAGGCCAAGACCCTGGCCTTCCTCAAAAGCCCCCTGATGAAACAGAGTGTTAAGAAGCCCCCACCGCCCGGGGAAGCGGCCAGGGAGGAGCTGCGCAACGGGAAGCTGGAGGAGGCCCCTCCGCCTGCCCTGCCACCACCTCCGCGCCCCATGGCCGACAAGGACACGTCTAATGAATCCAGCTCGGGCAGCGCCACCCAGAACACCAAGGAACGGCCACCCACGGAGCTGTCCACTGCCACAGAGGCCACCACACCTGCCCTGTCTGCCCCGCCCCTGCAGCCAAGGACTCTCAACCCGGCCTCCAAGTGGTCCAAGATCCAGATTGTGACAAAGCAGACAGGCAATGAGTGTGTAACAGCCATTGAGATTGTACCAGCCACGCCGGCTGGCATGCGCCCGGCTGCCAACGTGGCCCGCAAGTTCGCTAGCATCGCTCGCAACCAAGTGCGCAAAAAGCGGCAGATGGCAGCTCGGGAGCGCAAGGTGACTCGGACCATCTTCGCCATCCTGCTGGCCTTCATCCTCACCTGGACGCCCTACAATGTCATGGTTCTGGTGAACACCTTCTGCCAGAGCTGCATCCCCGAGACTGTGTGGTCCATTGGTTACTGGCTCTGCTATGTCAACAGCACCATCAACCCTGCCTGCTACGCGCTCTGCAATGCCACCTTCAAAAAGACTTTCCGGCACCTGCTGCTGTGCCAGTATCGGAACATCGGCACCGCCAGGTAGGCAGGCAGCAGAGCCCTAGGAGGGGCTGGCGTCGTGTGTGTGTGCTGGCTGGGGGACCGCACCGCGACCCAGGCTCACCTGCCATGGGGGCAGATGGCTGGAGCTCCGGCTCTTATGTGCGCCGAAAGGCTGCTGAAGAGGATGGAGGGCTCGATGAGCCCAGGAGGCACCAGCTGCATTCAGGGACCAGGTCTCTGCTCAGGCTGAGCAGGCACAGCCCCCAGGAGTGTCAGACCTGGGACTCCTCCCTGGCCCGTGGTCCAGCCTCAGAGCACAGGGCATGCTGGCCTGGGCGGGAGCGAGCAGGGCACCTGCTGCATGGTGTCTGGCCGCAGGCAGAGCCGAGGGAATAAGCATCTGGACAGGGGTGTGTGGAGGAGCCAAGGGGCGGGGCTCCAGAAGGGAGCGGAAGGGCGGGGTCCCCCATTTTGCTGTCATCGGTGCTTCCCGTCACCCCCCCTTGCACCCTGCATGTGGGCTCTTCCTCCCCTGACCCCTCTCGCCAAACCTCTCTGAAGGGGCAGCAATAGCCTGGCTCCGGATGGGGAGGGTGATGTCATGGGAGGTTCAACTCAGGAAGTCTCAGCCTCCTGGAGCTCTGGGTTCAGCCCAGTGGCCAGCTTAGGCTGAAGGGTCCCCTCCCAGGAGAGGGCGTGGCCCAGGGGGTAGTGGTAAGGGTGGTAGGCTGGGCTCCCATCATCCCCTACAGAGCTGAGGGATGCCCTGGGCCCCCAGGGAGAGGTCAGGGCACTTGAGTGCAGAGATGGCACCCGTCTCCCCAGCCTGGCGGTGAGTGGGGCTGAGGTCGAGGTTGCAGTCTGTTCCAGCTCGCAGGCTCCCCGGGAGCAGGGAGTCGGGGGGAAGACAGCCAGGCTTAGGGAGGAGTGGAGCACCTTCATCTTTGCTTTTTCCATGCGTTCTGGGGAGCACTCCTGGCCAAAGCCCCCCAGGCCTTAAACCCACCCATCCCTGACACCATCTCCCCCCTCCCTTTCCCATCTCCCGCAAATCAAACTCCACAGCAGACTCCCCAGGGGAGGGGCTTTTATATATTAAAAAGAAAAAGATTTTATTGGGAAAACAATTGGTTTATTTGTCTTCTTAGTTCATGATGGGGAAAACAAGAGGGGGTGTTGGGAGTCAGCTCCCTTGGGAGGGGGGCTCAAGCTGCCCAGAATCCCTGGTCCCTCCCCACTTTGGGCACTTGGGGAGCTATGTGGGGGGAGGGACGGGAAGAGCAGGCGTGATTGATAAAGCTAATAAGCAGACAAAAGGCACTGGTGGGTTACAGCTCAGGAGGCCGCAGCCGGGCCCCAGGAGAAGCAGGTCTAGTCTTTTCCCTTCCCTTTCTTGGCTGTAAAACAAGAAAATAAAGGAACTCAGCATTAGCAGAGGGTGGGGGTCTCGGTGGAGACCCAGCCCCCTGCACACACTGGCAAAATCCTGCCCCCTAGTGGTTTCTGGATAACGGAGCCGGAAGCAGGTGGGACTGGGCGGCCATGATGACGCCTCCAGGCCGGAGAGGTGGCCCAGACTCTCCCTGGCAGGCCCTGTTTGTCCCCTGACTGGGGCCACTGGAACTCGGGGTGGGCTATGAGGGGTTCCCTATGTTAGGAAAGGCAGTTAGAGCCAAATGCTCCCCCTGCCGGCCAGAGGGGTGCTAGCCAACCATGGTGGGACAGCCTGTCTGAGCCCTAAGGGAGGTGGGCTCCAGGGGTCACCATGTCTTGCACACCTTCTCAGGGCTTACCCTCTTGGTACCTGCAGCTCCAAGATGTCCCTGCAGACACGGTACCGAGGGCATAGATGTCCTCCGCTCACTGGTGGGGACCCAAGGCTTCGGGTTTATCTACTGTGCTCTCAAGTGCTGTCTTAACCCCCCAATCCCCACACTGACCTTTGGCCTTGGCTTTGGTTTTGGGGGTGCAGGGCTTGGTCACGCGGATGGTCTCCTGGCACTGGGCGTTGTACCGAGCCTTCTTGAGGGTACCTTGGCGGGCTTTGGTGCCTGTGCCGCCATCACACGCCCCCCAACTCTCAAACTTGTACTTGCAGTCGGCTGGCAGGAGAACAGCCGGGTCAGGGCAGGAGAGCCTGCAGCCCCCTCCCTCCCCATGCCCTGGCGCACGCACCCCACCTCACCTCCGAACTCTTTCTTCCAGCTGCACGGCAGCCTGCAGCGGATGCGCTGTGTTTGCGCCCCGCAGGTACCCTCGCGGAAGCCCACGCCGCAGTCCTTGCTGCTGGGGGTGCAGGGTCCCCAGGTCCACTCGGTGCACTCGCCGCCCGGGCCGCCCTTCTTGACCTTGTCTGGATTGAGGGGGATAGGGGGAATCAGTACGACAGGCTGGAAGACCTCCCTCGCTGGGGTTCCCGGGCTCTGGGGGCCTCACCTGCCCCGGCCCCTGGGCCCCTTCCAACCCCCCTCCCCGCCCCCACGACCACGTTCCTCCATCACTTCACCTTTCTTTTTGGCCACCGCGGAGGTGAGCGCCAGCAGGGCGAGGAGGGCGAGGAGGAGGAAGCCTCGGAGCTGCATGCTAAGGGGAGAGCCGGGTCAGAGGTCCCCGCCAGGCTCCGGGCCCACTGGGCCTGCACCTCCCATCTCCCCCTTAGCCTCCACTTTGCAGGCCGCTCAGGTGGCGGTGAGGCTGTCCCGGAGTGGGGGGGAGCTGCACCACGGGAAGGTGTCTCCCCGGGGATACCTCAGCATCCTCCCCCACTCTTGTCCCTACTAGAGCCTCCCGATTCCTCCCTCTTCGCCCCCCACGGCCCGTAGCCACCACGCGCTCACTCGCTAACCACCCGCGCCGCTTCGCTCCCTCCCGCGCCGGCCCGTCCCGCTCCGGCTGCTGCGGCCCCTTTTGTCTCCAGAACCGGTCTGAACCGGTCACATGGGCCCCCGCCCCCTCCCCCGCCTCTCCCCACCGGGGAAGGACCCGCCCCGCCCCCTCCCCTCCAACCTGCGCCGCCCCCGACCCAAGCGTCCCCGCCTCCGCTCCCGCCCCGCACCCCCCAGGCCACGACCTGACCTGGCTTCCTGGCGGTGGCGTCGGGTCGGCGCGCGCCCCCGCCTTGCCCTGTATTGGTGCTCTCTGCTCTGGGGACTTGGAATTCTACTGGCCCCCAACACTCTTAAGCCCCAGGGCTCCCAGGACCCCAGCCCCCTGCTTTCCATACCCGTCCTCTGTCCCCTGACCCTGGGCTAGTGGCCATCCGCGCCGGGCACCCTCAATTCGCAGCATCTTTGATAGGGATCAGAAAGGGACAAGGGTGCCCATCTCCACGTGGGGTCCCACTCTATCACCCAGACGGCCTGGGGAAGGGGAGGGCCACCTCGGGGTCCTTCCCTAACTGGGCAAGAGATGCTCAGCTTTGGCCGAGTGCCTGGGGGAAGGAACGCAGAGGGTAGTGCGTTAGGGCGCACGCGCCTTTCCAGGAGCGCAGGTTTGAGAGGCGGCGGGAGGGGCGCGTTGGGAAGGATCCCTGCGCTAGAGTTTGGTAAAACTTGCAGAACTGACAGCAGCAGTCTGAAAAGTTCCAGGCGCAGCCAAACGGCCCATACAGTTGGAGGGAGGCACAGCTCCTGTGACCCCAGGGATCTCCACCCCAATGCCCGCCCCCATCCCCAGGTCTGGGGTGAAGTGGCTTGCCCGGGATTCCACCTCCCTCTTTCACTTTCATTGTTGTGGTCCCAGCGGGAAGCGGGAAGCGGGAGGAAGCCGGCTCCGCCCCCTGCAAACCCCTCCAGCACTGCCGCAGGCAGAGGTCAGGAACCCGGGCACCCCTTAGACAACATGGGGGACCCTGCCACTGCGGGAAGCCTTCCCCCACAAAGAGAGAAAAGCAGAAAGGAAAAAAAAATCCACTTTACTGAGTCGCACCCAGCTGTAAACATGTCACCCGTGGGAGCCCCGCCCCCACCCCGGCCATACAGTCCATGAGACATGACTGGGTACAGAGAAGGGTCACCGGGGCGGGTGCCAAGCAGGGCAACGGGCAGGCCACGCCGGCTGGAGCAGGGTGGGGTCCGGGCGGGCTTGGGGCCAAGCTCACGGGGCCTCCGTGTGGCCCTACGCGGCAGTGGGCTTAGGAACCTCGGCCCGCGGGTCTCCCCTCCCCTGCCGCGGCCACTGTCGCCTCCGCTGGGGGGTTCAGAACTGCGAGTGGGGCAACTGCTGTCCCGAGGGGCGCGGCCCGGGGCCCCCTGCCCCGGCCTGTGCAGGCTGACCCCCGGCAGGGGTGCTCCCCGGAGTCCTGGGGGCGGCTCTTGCACTGGGGGTACGGGTCCCTCCCTGTGGCCATCCGGCTGGAATGTGGCAGTGAGGCGGGCAAGGAGGCCCTCGCTGAGCCTAGAGGCTACACGGCCGTCTCCTGGTCCTCTCGTTGGATCATCTGGTAGTGCTGCCGGCTGGCCAGGTAGGCGGCCAGCTCCGTGTCCTGAGCCTTCTCAGCCCGCTGCCGGGGGGTGTCGCCCTGAGGGTGAATGGGTTGGGTGAATAGACACCTGGGGACCCAGGGCGGGTTTAGGAGAGGAGCCCACCCCTGGGTAGTGAGCTGGGGATTCCTTAGGGTGGCCCCTCCATGACTCTGGACTCCCAGGTGTTGGGGCACCCTGCTTCATGCTCACCTGCTGGTCTGTCTTCATGAGCGAAGCCCCTGCCTCCACGATGTAGTGGCAGATCGTACGCTGGCGCAGGGCGGCGGCCTGGTGCAGACAGGTCTCCCCACTGGGGAGGCAGAGTGCTGTGAACCCCCACCCACCCAGCTTCCATGGGCATCAGCAAGAAAGGGGGAAACTTGGGCCCTGGGGCAAGGAAGGGGCTGCAGAGAGGAGGGGAGACTGGCCAGATATGGGGGAGCGGGGCACAGGCTGGTTTCCAAGGTCTCCAGGCTCCTGCCCCACCCAGACACTCACTTTTCCTCTGCTGCGTCCAGGATCTCTGGCGGGGCTGCAGGGGGAAGAGGGCTCAGAGGGGCCCATGCACCCCTGCCTCCAGCCCGCCCCGCGGCCCCAGGAGCGGCACTCACTGTGCTCCAGCAGGTAACGGACCACGTCCTTGCTGCCCGCACTGACAGCGTGGTGCAGCAGCGTGCGGCTTCGCTCATCCCTGTGCGTGAGGTCGCCCCCTGCTCGGTGCAGCTCCTGCAGCTGCGGGCGGGAGGCAGGGCAGGACTGGGCTGGGCTGCCCACAGGTTCCACACCAGCCTGCTCCCCCGAGGGGGTATCAGGGGAGTCAACAGGGCCTCCATCCCCACAGGGGCGCCTGGCTACACCAGGGATGGGCAGGTGGGGGTGGGTGGAAACAGCCTGTTCAGATGGGCGAGGTGGGACAGGACTGTACCCTGTGGAGACCCTGCCAAGCACCTGCGTGGCACACACGTTCGAAGGCCCTACTGCCCGGTGGATACCAGGGCACCCAGGGCCAGAGGCTGCTGCCTAGAGCGGGTACCTTACAGAAGTCGTTCCTCCTGGCAGCTTCGATCAGCTCCTCACCTGCACAGAAGAGCTGGTGTCACCTGAGGCCAGGGTCCAGGCCTGGGCTGTGTGATTCACGCGTGTGGGGAGATGTGTGCCGCAGGGCATTGTGTGCCAAGGGCGGGGCCCATGTGTGACCATGCCCGCCCATAGGAGGCCACACAGAAGCTGGATGGCTGTTTGTGCTGGGCCAGCCTCCCCGCACCCGTCACTCCCCACCAGGGAGGAAGCAGCCTCACCTGCAGGGGGCGCTGCATCCCCTTGCAGCAACCTGCAAACAGAGCCGGTAGAACTGTGACCCCGCCCCCCAGCACGTCCCGCCTGCCACCCTCCCCAGCCCGACAGGTGGCGCCCTTGGTGCTTTCAACAGTTTATTGAGTGCCTACTGGTCACTGTGCTGGGATCCCCAGGGGTACAGCAGGGAACCAGACACATGGAGGCCTCGCTCTCACAGAGCTTACAGTCTAGTGCAGCAAGAGACGACGAATAAATAAGGGGCTCTGCATGGCAGTGAGTGCCCCAAGAGGACAGCACAGGGCAGTGTGACTGGGCCTCGGAGCAGATGGCTCCCCAGGGGAAGAAACTGCAGCTGAGAGAGGGTGGGGAGCAAGAAGTGGACAGTGTGATGAGGGGATGGGGCATGGCAGGGCGCTCAGGCCGGGCCTGTGCATGCCTGGCACCTGGGAGGGCCTCAGTGGCACCACATGCTGCATGTTCAGCAGGTCACCCATGCAGCAGGTCATGGTATGCAGACAGGCGCGGGGTGGGGGGAAAGGAGAGGTGGGGGAGGGAGCAGCACCACAAGGACTTGCTGGGGGGAGAGGGAGAAGTGGGGGAGAGACCCCAGGCTGGCCCGCAGCAGCTTGGGTGTGGTTCCTTAGCCAGCACAGGAGGGGGTTGGGGCTGGAGGCCAGGGTCAGCCCTGGTGGGAGGAGGGCAAGAGCCGGGCCAGGACTCACCGGGGAGTGGGTGAGCAGGGGGAGGTGGGGACAGGGGAAGTGGGGGTTGGCAGGTTGGGCCGGGCCGAGGCCCCCAGCAGCTCGGGGTCCAGGATGTAGATCTCGTCCTGTGCAATCTCAGTCACATAGTTGAGGTGTTCCTGGAGGGCAGGAGGGCAGGGTCAAGGCCAAGGCTCTGGGGACCAGGAGCAGACCCAGACACACCTCCACCGTGTCTCCCTCCATCCCTCTCCCCAACACCTCCTTTCTGTTCCTGGCCCCTCAAGCCTGGTCCTGGGACAGTCAGCCTCTTCCAGTCACCAAGTCTTTCCCCAGGTGAGCTGGCCCTGGCCACTTTCTTCTCGGTCTATGGACAGTGCTTTGGGCCAAGGACCAAGGTGAGCCTACCCACTGGGGTCCAGAAGGGAGGGCCTCCTGTGGGAGGCGATGGGGCTGCGTAGGCTCACCTGGGCACGGTCGATCCTGTAGAAGCGGCTGGCAGTGGTAGCTGCAGGAGAGAGGGTCACGGGGATGAGGCCCTCCTTGCGATGGCCCAGGGCCTGTGTCGCCCCAGTCCCAGGCTCAGCCAAGAGCTAATGCTCCAGGGCAGACTTACCATCCAGGAAACACCATTTGGGGGACAGCTTCTGGCACATGGAGGACTGGGCTCCAGCACCCTCAGGCTCCTGATGGGAGAGAAGCCGAGCCTGGGGTGGGGTGGGGACAGGACTGGGGCCAGCAGGGACACCTGAAGAGGGGGTAGTTGGACCCCCTCCCCATCCCATCCCACCAAGCCTACCTGCTGGAGCCTCTCAATGTGGGCACGGCAGAGCTCCAGGTCACTGTCTCCTGGGACCACCACGGTGCCCAGGGGCACAGCTGGAAGACAGAATGCCAGTCACTGGCCCTGCCCGGGGACACCTGGCAGCCCTGCCCACTCCCAGCCCTGCTCCCTTGCCCCAGTGCCACTCACAGGCCTCCCTGAGCTGCTCCTTGTCGTAGTGCAGGGCCTCATAGTCGTGCATGCTAACCCTGCTCACCTGGATCCGCAGCTGCTCAGGCACGGGCTGCTGGCTGCCGGAGCAAGGACAGGGGGCCTCAGCAAGGGGCCCGTCCTCTGCCAGATGCCAGGCCGATTGTGGACTGATGGACGGATGTTCAGAAGGGGGCATCCCTCTCCCAGCCCTGGGCCATGGGGACGTGTGGGGACACTGAGGCCCGAGGGGCGGGCATGACATACTCGTTGTGCAGGGGCGCGGCGCTCCGGCGCTTGGCCTTCTGCACCATGGTGGCCTGGTTGCGCAGCGCGATGCGGATGCGGGAGGCTGCTAGCCTGCAGGGCTCGCCGTCCACCTGCACTGGGATCGCCTTGGACGTGATGAGCAGCACCTCGCGGCACTGCGTCAGCCGCTCGCCGTGCCCGCCCACCTGCAGTGCGGCCTGCGACACAGGAGGGAAGCTCCAGTCGGGGGGGCCCCAGGGGCTGAAGAGGACCCCCCCACAAACACAGAATAGATAAGAGGGGGCAGTAGGAGAGTAGGGGGAGATCAGAGACAGAGGCAATGAGGGTGATGCTGCAGACAGAGGAGAGAGGGTGGACAGTGAGACCCAAGCCAGACAAGGGCCGGGCAGAGAAGGGGTGTCGGCTGAACCCCCCTGGTCTGGGGGCCACACTCACCAGAGAGGTCATGGTGAATCCAATGACCTCGAGGTAGCCGTCGTCGTGCCGCTGGGGCTCAAAGTCATGGTGCTCCCCGGGGTGGCCCCAAGGCATGGTGCCAGCACAGTACCTGGGGTGGGGACAGGACAGTGGTTTCTGCACCTACAGGACAGGGCCAGCAGGACACACCTGGAGTCCACCCTCCTCACCTGGGGATGTTCAGGAAAACGATGCACTGGGGCTTCAGCTCCTGAATCTTGGGGGTCAAGTCAGTCCCGTCGCACTGGAGCACCAATGGAGTGTTGTTGGGGGACACAGGGAGGGGTCCTTGGGGAGCCTTTCCCCACGCCCCCTCCTGGGCCCCCCCCCCCACTCACCACCACCCGGATGTGCTTGGCCAGGTCCTTGGAGCCGCCAGTGAGGAAGTCAGAGAAGGCCGTCTGTGGGGTCAGAGAGGTTTAGCAGCGGGGGATGGGTCCCTTCCCTCAGAACCCTCAGACGGGGCACCCAGGAGCTGGGGGGATAGAGGCCTGCATGACTCACCCCGGCGTAGAACATCTTGTTCCGGAAGCGGCTATTGAACTTCTCAGGGTTGGCCTCTGCACAGAGACAAGATAACAGGGTGGGGTGGGGAGTGTTAATTATGGGGAGTCCACATGTTTCTGGCCTTGACCTTCTGGGGAACCCTCCTGCCCACTCCTCCACTGAGATTCCCAGGCAGGAGATGGCCAACCTCGAGATTCGTGGAACTCCAGGGTGACATGGGCATCGAAGCCCAGGCTGAAGTAGTTGTTGAAGACGTCCAAGGGCAGCTAGGAAGAGGCCGGGCACCGACATGAGGGCTGCATTCCAACATGCAGGCTGCGCCTCACGCCTGTCCCCTCCTCACAGCCTGCCCAGCAGCCCCCGCGCTGGCTCTGCCCAGGCAGCAGTTTCAGAGGCCTGTCTCACAGGTGTCCACTGAGGATCCCGAGTGCCTGGCGGGCCCCAGCACTGCTCCCAGACACACTGAAGGAGGTGGCTGCTCTGTTTACTGCCTAAAATAGTGCCTGCCAGTGGCTGAATGGAAACCCATCTGGGTGCCAGTGCTGTGACATAGCCGGTCAACATGCTGCCTGCATTACTGGCATATACAGACAGACTCAATTCCCAGCTGTTCCACCTCTGATCCACTTCCCAGCTAATGGACCTGGGAAAGCAGCGGAAGATGGCCGGAGTGCTTGGGTTCCTGCCACTCACATGGTAGACCAGGAAGAACCTCCGAGCTCTTGGTTTTGGCCTGGCCCAGCCCCAGCCATTGCAGCCAACTGGGGAGTGTACTAGCGGGTAGAAAGGGTCTGCCTCTTCTCTTTCTTTGAAATAAACCCATCTTAGAGCCCATGGCCCTGACTCCCAAGGTTAGGGGAAACGGCGACATCTGCAGTCAGAGAGCACCCAGAGTCCCAGGACCCCGCGGGGGCGGCCAGCGGACCCACCCGGTCGGTGGCGCCATCATCTCGCTCCTCGGGCCCGGCCTCAGGGTTGGGCTCTGCCCGCAGGTCCCAGCGGTCCAGCTGTACCACGTTCCCCTCCTCCACATGTGACAGGATCTTAGAGACAGGCTCATCTGTATAGCCCTGCCAGGGGGGAAGCGGGCAGTGAGCCCACCTTGCTGGCAGCGAGCCCAGCCACACACCCATCTTCACAAGGGTGCTCACCCCGCCCCAGTTGAGGGTGCGTGCCAGGTCATTGCCGGTCCCCAGCGGCAAGATGGCAACAGGCGGTGGCGGCTTTAGGCGGAGCTGGTCTAGGGTGGAGAGAATCCAGCCGACCTGGAGGCAGAGACAGGGTCAGGCCCAGGGGAGCACCAGGCTAGGGCTACAACTCCCCCTGCAGCGCCCCCCAAGACCCCAGGAGCAGAACTCACTGTGCCGTCACCCCCGCAAGCAAGGATTCGCAGGTTATGCACTTTGCGGTACATCTCCAGCCTGGAGCGGGAAGTGACAGGAATGGGGTTGGGACAGGAGCCACACATGGCCTGGGACCCAGCCGTGCGCCCCGTCCCACCCCTGTGCCCCATGAGCACTTACGCCTCCCTGGGCCCTCCCTGGCTCAGGTCGAACACTTGCCGGGGGTTGAGATACCAGAGGAAGGACTGCATGATCTTGGCGCCCTGCAAGTGTCGGACAGGGGTGGGGCTGGAGCCAGGGAGAGGTGTGCGGTCATGGCAACAGGCAAGCAAGCTGAAGGGGTACTCACCTGGTTGCCCCCACTCTTGGGGTTCACAAACACCAGCAGGGGCTTCATGAGGGGGGACGGGGTGGGCCGGATAATGAAGGGTCTCCAGCGGCCCTCCTTGGGAGACAGACCACCCATGAGGCGCCTTCCCATTCCCTCCTGGGCAGGCCAAGGGTGGCTCTCCAGCCCCCTTGGCACACCCTCGGGTGCATCCCGCACAGCCCTCAGCACACACCTGGCGGCACACAGGCCCCTCAAGCCCATAGGGACCCGCCCATGGCTGAGCTGGCATCACCCAGCCCTCCCCCTGCAGACCCGGGGCTGGCGCTGTGGCTGACCTCGGGCCCCTTCTTGCTGGACTTCCTCTTGAAAGACGCACGCTTCTTCTTCTTGCTCGCCTTGAGGGTGTTCTGTGAGGGAAGTGGAAGGGGGCAGTGGTGACAAGGTGGACGACTGGCAAGACCCCGAGCACATTAGGGGCGGCCACAGCCACAGGCACAACTTACCTGGGGCCTCCGGGCGCGGAGGATCCAGGTGGGTGGGATGACCACGGCCGCGTGCACCCCCAGCGAGCATGGCTCCTCTATCTGCTGCAGCATGAAGCACGACACCTTGCTGTGGTACTGAAGGACAGAGGGAGGGCGGAGGCTGAGCAACGAGGGGCGGGGCATCGGGTGGGTGGGCGTCAGGGCCTGGATGGGGCGCACACTCACGGCCTGCTTGCACCAGGAGCAGCTGATGGCCACAATCTCCTTGCTGTGGAAGGTGAACTTCTGCTGGAAGCCCTGGGGGGGTTGGGGTGGGGGAACAAGGTGGCTGGGCATGGGGTTGCCTGGGGCAGAAGGGCCAGCCTCCCCCTTGGTTGTCAACTTCGTTTCAGTTGGGGAAAACTAAGCACTTTTCAGAACTAAAAGGCCGACTCCACAGCCGCCAGGATAAGCCCTGAGACTGGGGCTGCTTGGCCAGGGTTGTGCCCTTCTAGGGGTACTGGCAAAGCCTGGGGTGCAGCTGCGTTTTGCTGAGGCCCTGCAGGGTGGCCACAGCCCACTCCCTCCTCCCTGACCCCCTGCCAAGGGCTGACCGTGTACCAGGCAAGCTGATGCTAAGGGGCAGAACAACAAGCAGAGCCGCAGGGGTCGCACTGTGGTGTGGTGGGTTAAGCCTGCGACACTGGCATCCTAGATGTGCGCCAGTTCAAGTAGAACACCTACATGCTGGTGGCCCTGCACCCACATAGGAGACCTGAACAGAGTTCTAGGCTCAGTCCTGTTGAGTGAATCAGTGAATGGAAGGTACCTCTCCCTCTACAACTCTTAAAAAAAATATCAATCTTTGAGGAAAAAAAAGTAGCAAAAGCAGGGAAGTGAAAGATCCCATCATGAATGGTGTCCTGGGGGACACGGCACGGGGTGTGTCTTGGGGGCTCCGGCCCAGCTGGGCACACCTTCCTGCCTTGCTCAGCCTGGAGCTGTGTGCTCTGGGGCTATGATCAGCAGTGGAGCACCCAGGCAGATGCTGGCGTGGCTGTTGGGGGAAGAGGAGAGCCCTCACCTTGCCACAGTGCCGGCACTTGCCGTCCTGGCGCCGCCTATGCACCCAGTGGTGCCGCACGAAGGTTGGCTGGGTAGAGAAGAGTCACTGTGGTGAGTGGGCAGGTATGGCCCAGCCCCCTCCACCCACCAGCACGGAGGGCTGTGGCTCTGGACAGCTCTCTGCGGTCCGGCACACTTGGTGAGGAGGGGAGGTCGAGCTACAGGGGACCTGGAAAGCAGCAGGCAGGACCACCAGGCAGGTCCAGCGCCCTGCCAGCCTGGCTTCACCATGGGGGACCTCGCTCCCTGGGGCCGCCTGCTGGTCCCGTGCAGCACTGCAGGGATAGGCCTACCTCGCGTACATTCCTGGAGCCCGACTCCCGGAAGGATGGCTTACAGCGGAAGTTTATCTGTGAGATAGTGACCGCTAGGTTAGACCCTGAGGACCAGGAGTCTGGCCACCACCATCAGGACGGGCACCCAGAGCCACCCTCCTGTAAGGAGTGTCCCAAGTCTCCCCAGGGAGCCATCACAGCACCAGATAGCCAGCAGCCATGGTGGCCTTTCCTTCCTCTCCAAGAACTGGGGAGGATGCAAGCTTCTGTCTGCCTTGGGTGCCAATTTGGGTGAACAGAGGCAGTTGGTACAGGCCTGCATACCCCCTTGCTGGCCAGGTCCAGGGCTGCTCCCTTCTGCCTTAGACACAGGTTCCATGACGCCTAGGACTGTGATTCTGTCTTAGCTTTCCATCCCTAGTGCTGCCCCGAAGCGGTCACTTCACAGCTTGGAGCTGGGGGAGCCTCCGCACTGGCCTTGTTCACACCATTCCCAGCACTAAGCTTTCTGCAAGTGGAGAGCCCTGAACTCCTGTGCAAACCCCTGCCCCGCCCCATCCCTGAAGCCTTCCTGCCAAAGCATGGCATGCAGACACACGCCAGCTGCACACACGCCATGGACAGCGGCCCCCAGGTAGGTGAGATCTCCACAGAGGCGGTGTGTGGGCACAGAGCCAGATTCTAGAGTGACACAGGACCAGCCCAACCACAGCAAACTCATCTCAAAGCCTGCCTTGGATGTGATAAAACAACAGAGGCCCGTGTTCAGTAACTGAGCCCTCTGTGCCTGGCTTGTTCTGGGGGTGGGGAACCAGCCCGGTGGGGTGGGCTGGGAAAGGTAGGAACTAAGTGCCAGCGTCCGGAGGCTGGCGCTGTCCTGGCTTCTGCTGCACCACGCTGGCTGGGTCACTCCTAGCAGGCGATGCTAGTATACAGGGCCCATGTGTGCTCTGGTCCCCAAGGGACAGTGGGAAGGGGTAGGCAGCCACACACCTTCTCCAGCTGTTCGATGCAGGGGGTGTGTACCACGATCTTGCAGGCTGCACACTTTCTCCGTGACACTGACTTCTGCTGTGGGACAGAAAGGGAGGGCCTGGGTAGCTCCCCTGGAGGAACAGCTTCCGTGGGCAGGCAGAAACACCCTCTGCACTGCCATGCCCCCCTTTGTCTGGGGCCGGGCATCTCCTGGCTGTCAGCAGAGAGCTGGGGGGCAGGGGGTAGCTGCTTCCCACCTCCCCAGGAAGGGCTGTGGCTACTGGTGGCAGACAAGGGCGACAGCCCTTGCTCTGCCACCAGGGGGCAGCAGGCTGCACAGCAGGCACTCACCAGCATTTTGGCTACACAGTACTGCTCCCCAACATAGCAGAAGTCCCCTGACACGTTGGTCTCGAACCAGATGTGTTCCCCATATGTTGCTGATTCCTGGAGCACGGGACAGAAGGTTGAGTGCCTGCAGGCAGCTCGGTCCCACCCTGTCAAACAGCCCTCTCCTGCCGCCCCTACTCAGACTGGATCATGCACGTACACAGGAGGGCCCAGGAGCTCCTCTCCCAGCCGCTCCCTCTTGCACTTCTGCCCTCTACCCCCAGCTGCCCCATGGCCAAGGCACAGCACCTCCCCTCCCACCCCTTGCCCACTACTCACGCTCCAGTCCACGGTGCTTCGGATCTGCCGCTCAGACTCGCCACACAGGGCACCAGGGGCTGGAGGAGGGGGTGCCAGGTGCGGGAGGCCCGACTTAGTGATGGCTTTCCTGCAGGAAAGGGGACAGCTGAGGCGGGTGGGGGGGTGCAGCGGAGTCCTCATGGACTCTCCTTCCTCCCCCACCACCTGGGTCCCTGCCCTCATGGTGGCTGGACCCAGAGACCCTCTGAGCGAGGAACACTGGCTCAGGCTCTGTGCCCCATGCCAGCCCCTGTGGAGCTGTGCCACTCACTCCGCTGGCCGCAGCTGTACCTACACAAGCAGGGAGCTCCAGGCCTGGGGTCCGGCTGCCTTGCGCCGTAGGGCTACCTGGCGCCTGCGGGACAGTGGCCGCACGCGGGTGGGCAGTGCGGGGCCTGCTGAGGCACAGGAGGCTCTTCGGCCGCCGGGGCCTGGGTGCTGGCCTGCAAGCCGCTGCTGGCTGAGGCGCCGATAGTAGCCGTGCAGGCCCCACAGGGCACAGTCATACACCACGTCGGCGGGGAGCAGGTGGGAGGAGGCCCGGCGCAGGCAGCGTGGCAGCTGTAGCCGCGGGCATGCGCCCCAATGCCGTGGATGCCCCGCTGCTTTGGGGTTTGGCTGGGTGGCACTCGATGCCCCCGCTGTGACATCTTCCTTCTCGACCCCCTCTTCCTCCTCTTCCTGCATACCCAAAAGTCCAGCAAACAGCAGGGGTGACCTCAGCAGCTGGGCCCCCACACTGGCAGCCTGTGAGCTGGGGACCTCCTTGATGACGAAGCGGGGGTTGCAGGCTGGGGGTGCGGTGCTGGAGCGCCTGCGGCGGCTGCCACTAACTCCTCCAACCCCAACGCCGCAGCCCAGGAGGCAGCCCTGGAGCTGAGCACTGGAGCGGCGCCTCTGGGCCAGTGAGGAGGACGCCTGTCCGGCTGAGGAGCGGCGCCTGACCTTGCCCGTAGGCAGCCCCACACTGCTGGGCCGCCGGGGCCCCTCTCCAGCACCTTGAGCCTTCCGCCGGAAATGTCTCCTAAAGAAGTTCTCCATGAGCAGGGGTGGCTGGGCGGGCGGCTGTGGGGTACAGAGACCAGCAGTGTCAAGAGAGGGAGAGGGGTAGCTTGCTGGCTCCCAGCCTGCACCCCAGAGCAGAGCAGCAGAGTGAGGGATGAGGGCTGCCGTGGCTGTGGCCTCCATGGTCACAGCATCTGGGGCCACATGGACGCTTCCTGGCAAGCCTGGCCACCCAGAGCCTCTGCCCAGGCACCAGTGTATAGACACACTCCTCCCCTACTCCTTGCAAGAATATGACGGAAAAAAGATGTAAAACACCTAAGGGTGGGGCCTGGCGAGGTAGCCTAGTGGCTAAAGTCCTCGCCTTGCATGTGCCAGGATCCCATATGCGTGCTGGATCTAATCCCGGCAGCTCCACTTCCCATCCATATCCCCCCTGCTTGTGGCCTGGGAAAGCAGTCGAGGATAGTCCAAAGCCTTGAGACCCTGCACCCATGTGGGAGACCTGGAACAGCGTCCTGGCTTTGGATCAGCTCAGCTGCGGCTGTTGTGGCCACTTAGAGGGTGAATCATCACACAGAAGATCTTCCTCTCTGTCTCTACTCTCTATATATCTGCCTTTCCAATAAAAATAAATAAATCTTTAAAAAAGACCTAAGAGTGGGTCCAGAGAGATGGCTCAGTGGCTAAATCCTCGCCTTGCACACGCCGGGCGCCGGTTCTAATCCCAGTGGCCCCACTTCCCATCCAGCTCCCTGCTTGTGGCCTGGGAAAGCAATAAAGGACGGCCCAAAGCTTGCACCCGTGCGGGAGATCCAAAGAAGCTCCCGGCTTCGGATTGGCTCAGTCAGTTCTGGCTGTTACGATCACTTGGGGAATGAACAAATGGACAGAAAAATCTCTCTTTGTATCTACTTCTCTCTGTAAATCTGCCTTACAACAAAAATAAATCTTAAAAATAAGTAAATAAATAAAAGACCTGAGAGTGCAAACATCCTGAGGGCCCAGGACGGCCTGTAGTTCCAGATGGGCGGAGACCCTGCTTACCCCTGAAAAATGGTGGGCGCAGACCAACTTGGGACAAGGCAACGATGCCCTCCGCACAGGACCCTCATCCTGCTACCACCTGATGTTCTCAGCACTTGGCATGGCTGGGGGGTGGGGTAGCTAAAGGCCCTCGGGAAGGAGGGCAGGCTTCCAAGAGCTGGAATCTGCTCCCAGGAGCCACTCCAGCCTTTGCTCAGAGGATGCCCAGGGCTCTGGAGGCGCATGTGCACCTGGAGGCTTGGCAGGAGGCATGCCCGGCTCTGTGCACACATGCAAGTGCCACTGCTGTGTGGCCTTTCTGCAGGGCACAGCATGGACACCCCACATAGGAGGCACTTCTGGCTCCACAGCCCAGTCTCATGCTGACTCGAAGCTGCCTGCAGTCCCTTCTTCCCCTGGTTGCACTTCTGCTCTGCTCCCTCGGTCAGCTCACTCCTCCCTCCCTGCCTCCTCCATAGCTGTATGATCAGGCCTATGGTACCTGCACCTCTCCTCCCAAGCAAGCAGGAATATGGCTCATGGTTCTGGGGTCCCCCATATCCTCCATCAATTGTCCTTAATGTCCCTGAGCCTGGGTGTGGGGGGGGGTAGGAATGGAGCTGGCAGGAGAAATAGCTGTGCTACCGACAGGGTTAGTGGAAGTCTGGTGTGGGGACACAAGGCAGGTATGCAGGAAGGCTCAACTGGAGATGATGGGCCCAGATCTAGCACCTTCTCCCCATCCCCACCCTACTCCTTGACCTGCTGCTGGCCTGTAGCTTGGGCTGGCAGCTGTAGGTCAGGTGCGGGTTGGGGGTATGGAACAGCGCTCCCAGGACCAAGGCAAGTGCAGCTGCAGAAGCAGGGTTCAGGGTTTCCCAGCCCTGGGGTTCCGTCCAGGCAGAATCCCTAGGTGCTGCTGATACCCGGGAGAAGGGCTGGCCAGAGCTCAGATTCCACACAGTGTCCCCTCGTGTGCCAGTCTAGCTGCTCAGAAGGGCAGTCCCGAGGTGGGCGCACCCGGCTTTCTGCTGCAACCTCCGCACACGGCAGTGACGCCTCATCAGCCACCAGCACTCCAGGAACAGGTGATGTGCCATGCTGCAGCCTGCTGGGAGAACCCAGGACCAGGGAGGAGCCCGCGCGGCCTACCCCTCCTCCTGAGACGGAGCACAGCAATCTTCCATCCCAGCCTGTGCAGCTGGCATGGGGTGAGAAGGGCAGGGAAGGGGACTGGACAATCCCACTGACTAAATACCCGCTGCGTCAGCAGCCTAGCATTCCCTGCCACCACCTGAGGAAGGAGATGTTACAGAGCTGTGGGGCCCGATGAGGCATCACACCATGCCTGCTGGCTCCAGGACCTGAGGCCAGGCTGGCCTGCCTCCCTGCCTGCCTCAGGTCTGCTCCCTGTCCCAGCCAGGAGCTCAGGGTTCACTGCCGGCCACCTGCCGCTTGCCACTGCTGAGGTCTGGGCTGGTCTCCACACAGTATCAGCACTCCCCGCCTGTCTGGTCAGGCCACTCGGCGACAGCTGCCCAGCCCGGAGATTAGTCACCCGGACACACACCGCCTGATGCTGGTGTCACCCAGAAAACAAAAGGCCACAGTCTGTGGGGGGGAGGTGCTGCGGCGAGGGCCGGTCCTGCAGGGTGACAGGAAGCCAAGACCATCTCCCATGGTACCTGCTGACCCCACACACTGATGGGGGGACAAGTCCAATATCTACTCAGGAGGGCCCTCAGCTGCCAGACGGGACACCCCAACACACAGCCAGGCTGGGGGCTACAAGCCTCAGTTTCCCTGTCTGTCTAAGAAGCCTGACAGGAAGTGTCTGTCCCACAAAGCACCCCCACCTCCAGGTCCCATGCTTCCTGTGTCTCTGGTGTCCATAGAAACCTCTACCCTCTACTCTGGCCAGCAGCCGCCTGACTGCTACTTCCTATCCTCCCTCCCCCTCCTGCTGCCCCAAGAGAGGCTTCTCCCAAGCCCTGCAGGGCCTACAATCCCCAACACACCACCTGGGAGCTGCCCAGGTCCCTCGAGGAGACCCCATGGGTTCTAATACAGAGAGCGCAGCAAAACAGCTGCCCCTGTCCCCCCAACTATGGGGGGCCTGCCACTCAAGTTGACAGGGTAGGTGAGGACTTCTAGCTGGCAGGGTTTCTGAGAGGACTTGGTGCCCCTGACAGAGATGGGCCAGGTACAGGCCTGGGCAGAGGCACCTGCCAGCGGGGGCGAGCCGGCCTGAAGGCAGCCCTGGTCACCGAATGGCAGGGCTCCTGGCTGCCCTGACCCAGACCACTTACACCTCATGCCAACTGCAAATCAAGAGTCCAGGCGCCCAAGTCCTACATGCACTATGCCTACCCTGGCCAGACCAGCCAGCCTTAGTGGCATTCTCATCTGAAAAGCAGGAGGGGGTTGCCCATGGTTGGGAGACCCCCGGACAGCTGACGCACACCCAGGGGCCAGGATGTTGCCCCGTCTCTGCCCAGAAAGGTAACAGGAGCACCAGGAGGGCCACCAGCCACCATGGGCCAAACAGAGCCAAGCCAGGCAGCCTGGGCCACCTGGGATCTGCTCTGTGCCTGGCACCCCAGGGCTGCCTCCGCCCCAGGGCAGCTCACACTGAACGCTGAGCGCTCACTCCTCCCAGGGACTGAGGCAGTCCCCACCGGCCCAGCCTCCCCAGGGGACTGAGAGCCAGAGGTCACCTCTGGTTCCTCAGCTCCCACAGCCCAGCGATGGAGGGGAAGGGGAAGGGGGAGGGGAAGGGAAAGGAGAAAGGGTCCTAAGGATGGCCAGGCCTCTACTCACTAAGGGGACACAGACATGACAGAATGAAACAATGCCCGCGGGGCAGCAGGTGGGCCTGACCACAGCCTAGGGGCAGGAGCTTGAGAGGACCCCCAGGCAGACCCAGGAGGGAAGGGGTGGAGGACAGGGAGAGCTGGAGAAGCCTCTTTTGACCTGATCCGGAGGGCAGGGCACCAGGAAGGAGGTGGACAGGCAGGTGGGGTCTCTGCGGGCCGACAGGCTCCCGTTCCAGACTCCCGTTCCAGGCTGCTGGCCTCAGAGGAGCAACTCCTAGTTTGGAGAGCGAGCAGCACTGGCTGCTCCCCTGCCCCCTCTCCCTCCCCGCCCTCCTCTCCCCCGCCTCCCCCCCCCCCCAGCCTGACAGCCGTTATGAAAATAGCCCCACTGTAACCGACTGCACTTCCTCTCCCAGCGGCAGCTCCCGGCTCTGCAGCAGGCAGGCAGGCAGGCGGACAGGCGGGTGGGTGGGTAGCAGCCAGGCAGAAGGTCCAGGGTCCACAGATCCTGGAATGTGCCACAGCCAAAGGAATGGGGAGGGAAAGCTGAGCTGGTGGGCCGCCTCTCATGGCCTGCGACTGACTACTGGGTCTCTAGATTCTGCAGCAGCAAAGCCCGCCGGCTCCACGGGAGAGAACACAGACCAAGACCTGTGGAATGCTAGCTTCCCAACTCGGCCCTTTCAGCAGCATGATCAGACAGGAGGCTGGCTGGTCAGTGCCTGGGCTGCGGAAGCAGCCCGTGTGGGTGGGCTCCAGAGTTTGGGAACTCGGGCTCTGCAGAGGGGTAGGTGTGGGTTTGCAGGTGTACCCTGGATCATGCCAAACTGTAGGATGCCCCAGAGAGGCTGGCTGGCTGTGTAGTCCACATACTGCCTGAATGCCACTTCCCACACACCCTGGCTCACGGCCCTACAGTGGTAGCCAGCACACTGCCCAAGAACAGCAAAGCTCTTCCCACTATTAAACAGTATGGACGATTCCAAAGGATTTCCTTTTGGGGTAAGGATGACCCTATCAGAAATTAAAACTGTGAAGTGTTGAAAGTTATCTATTCACTTGTTTAAAGACAATTAAAACTGCTACGTCTTAGCATAAATAAAAGTGATGGAAAACAAATCATGTCTTGTAAGACAAAACAAATAAACAAAGCCAATGTAAATGCTGTGTTAGGCTTTTGCCAATGGCGTTACCATCCAGCTTCAGAGGAGGTGCTGGTCCTCAGGCGACATGTCCCTGACGAAGGGCCATCAGTCTGCAGCCCAGGCTGCCCCAGGCTGAAGCAAAAAGAAAACACTGCTGCCTACAGACAGGGGGGAAAGCGGGGCATGGGGCAAACGGCTTCCCCAGGGCGTTCTGGACTACCTTCCTGGCTCCCACACCAAAGGACGACAAGCAGCGGTTTCTTAAAAGTTTACTTGGGGGCCTGGCGGTGTGGCCTAGGTGCTAAAGTCCTCGCCTTGCATGCTCCAGGATCCCACGTGGGCGCTGGTTCTAATCCCGGCAGCTCCACTTCCCATC